CTTTCAGTCTGTTTAGACTGAAAGCATTTATTTATTCCCACAGCTATTCTGCCCAAATTTCCGTTTAGTAAATATGAAATTCAGGAAGCATGAAAATTCTGACTTGGAGATATTCAAGATGGCGTGTATGAAGCGTATGAAGATATTCAAGATGGCGTGTATGTATAAAGCTTCGCTTTACCTCGCATCAGAAATGATAAACTTTCTAAAACGACCACTAGCATGTTCGTAACAAACGCTTTCCAGAAATCGTCCGGGTAGAAAATTTTAATACATCAGCTTATTTGTCATCGAATATCAAGCTTACTAAGCGGCAATGAAATGACATTTATGCGTAATATTTCCATACAAACGTGGTTGGTTGTGAATTTGTAAGTATTTATATTTTCCTCAACATAGAATATGATGTGCAAAGAGAGGCGAAAATGTTAATAATTTTACATGTAAATGACTTCCTTTAAGAAGTTATGTTTAGTAAGTTAATCTGAAATCTTAAAGCTGAAACGATTTTTTTCGATTAGCAGATGTTCATACATAATATACAAGAACTTTATTTACGTCTGTCATGGGATCTCAGTCCAGGCTCGGGAAAAATCGTGGCCGACGCTGCGACAAGGAAATTGTAATTTCTCATCCCACGCATCATTTCTTTCTCCAATAAAAATAGGTACTTTGTATCCTCTTTTCTGGAATTTATACATCAAATGAAATAGCATTTGTTCCAGGATATCAGTTTAGCTTTTTTTCCCTTAATTACTCTGCAATTTTTTTTATCGGTGTACGTCGCATAATAGATGAAGAACAATTGAAGTTCCAGCGAAGCCTGTTTACGACTAATTTCATTCTGATACTCTAATTATTGAATAATGAAGCTTGAACTTCCTAAAATAAAATTCGTGATGCCTAAATCATGGGCGAGCTACTTTATCGAACTTAGCCTTGAACATTTATGAAACTTTGGTATGAACTTTGGTGATCCTTTCAACACAAGCCGATAAAAATTGAAACAAATAGAGCTGGGTTTCAGGTCAATAGATTGTGATTGATCGTTGGTGCTCTGTTCTGCGCCGCCTCCAGCATAGAATTTATTTGATGGACGGTGCAACTTTACGCATTTGTTTTGATGTTAAATCTAGTGGTTCTTACTACAAATAATATCTGTCTCTAATTTATATTCCTTAGTTGTACACTATACAGATTTATGATTTTAATTTCACACAATAGTGACGAACTCAATACATGATGAATGAGGTAAATACATGAAACATGATGAATGAGGATGACTTATATGAGGTTCAATATAACTTAGTTGCCTAGAAAATTAAAAGTAAACTGTGATAACAATTTTTAATTCAAGTCTGGTAATATAAATCAGGGTAAAAAAGTCAACGGAAATTTTTCCAACCTTATGCACAAAAATAATTTTCAATAAAATTTAAAATATTATGACAGAATATTATTTTACAGATTATGATAAATATCCGACACTTTTTATTTTGTGTTTGGCTTAAAATTAACAGCGTCTGCACTGCAATTTCTATTTTGATTATTGTTGTCGCAGAGTTTGCAGACGCACGCTTACTCTAGAAACTTCAGTGGAAATGGGAATTTTACCATACATCGCAACTAATGTATTATCATTAAAAGAAGTTGCAATGATGTAGAATATAGAAAATAATAATTTGAACCTGAAAAGAAGTTTTTGTAAACACCGCTTGAATTAGAAAATTTGTAAGAAACTTTCGAATACACAACAGTCCTAAAGCAAATATCTTAAGCGTTCCATTGAAATGTTTTTTAGTCCAAATTTGATTAAAATGAGATACATTTAAAAATTTTCTAGCAATAATACCAAAACTTGTTAACATTACCATCTATTACAAACAGAGATGTGCATATTAGGCACTTTATCTTTAAAACATCAGAAAAATTTATCCAATATAAATATGGTATATCTATTATGTAAAAACAACAGATATTCATGCTCCTGCTTATCAATTTAATTATTAAATGAGTTGCGTGGATTCGATAATATTTATTATTATTGCCTTGTTACCATGGAGTCGCATCAGCATTCGCATATGCATCCACACGACGGAAATATTTGTCGCGGATTTTGTTCAAATAAATTAGCGAAATTTGATGCAAGTTTCTAGCTATCTAAAGTTATTTAATATTTCAAGGTTAATGGTGTTTAGCTTGGGAAAATTAATATGATCGATCATAATGTCAGAGAAATTCACTTTTTTGAGGGGTTAATAAAATCCAAATCAATGCAGATGTCGGTATAATTTAATTTTTCTCTTGAATGTAACTCCGTTAATGTTTTTAGGTGAGGCTTTGAAATAACCATATAAATAGTAAGGAGTGTCTAACGTACCCGTTGTCATAATTTTCACTGTTTTCTAGCCTATTTCTAGTAGTATGGAACAGATAATCTTTCTTAGATTTTATAAGTGAGAGTGAAAACAACGTTAAAGAGTGATGAAATGAAGCAGCTCTGGACTGCCATCGAACAACTACCTTTATGTTGGCGTTGTATCGGATGCATTCTGCGTCTTCTTTGTACTCCACGACTTTTAATTTAAGAGGTTTCTTATTTTACCGCCATTCTTGATTGCATGCATTATTCGGAAAAAATTTACAGCTGTTATTAGAGAAGAAGTGTAGGAGGGACAATCTTGGAAATTAACGTCCGAATAGTTTCCATGAATTTGTGTTGCAGTGATTTACACTCATATTTCCTATGAATGAAAAACAAGGCGAGCAAGAAACGCTACCGATCCCAATTCGCAGCCGCTGGTTCTTTGATTTCGTATTTACGGCGATGTAAATACAAGCAAATTTTTCCTCTCATAAATCTTAAAAATTATTCCGTTCCAACTTCATCCAACCAACGGTGATTGCTTTAAAATCATCACAGTTCGAGATAATGAACACGGGAAAGAAAACTTAACGTCACTGAATGTTCAATCGGTCAGTTTAAGATATCCTCTAAATAAATATTTTCAAAATGTTCTAGATTATTTGAATGTTGTAAAGAAATTTAAATTGGTCTTAAATTCGTGCTTCTGTGCAATATCTGTAAAATGCAATCTAAATTAAATTTATTTTTCAATACCAGCGTTTACAGTAGAATCCTACTTTGAGAGTAGTGGCTTAATTTGGTGGACTAAATCTGAGCCTCAAAAATCAGGAGTGTCAGCAAAATTCTGTCGCATGAAGTCTGATTTATACTGACACTTGTGGCTTCGCATCCTGATTTACGGGAGCTAACTGAGCTCATTAGATGATTCTCGAATGCCTTGATGGCATCACAAGCTCTCAGTCCCTTGAGCACAACAACAACATTTCGGAATTATTTTAATTTTGTTTAATGCGCAGTCGTCAGGTTCAAATCTGAGAAGTGGTTTTAATCTTACTAAATTTGTGGTCTGGCTGTCGGTTACAAAAGAAATGTTTCGGTCTTTCATAACTCACGGTTCTGGAGCAACATTTCAAGTCATATTCGTCATCAATATGAGTTCTTGGCATTGTGGCGACATAGAAGGAGCCTTCTAGTAATAAATCTCAGATCTAGCAGACAATATTCCAAGTTTTCGGAACGCGACGCAGAAATTATTCTAACATCACAATTTCGTTAACATCGCCAACTGCGATATTCGAAAAATTCTGTAGTCCAAAATATTTTTTGACAATTTCATCTTATATTTGCTGATGAGTTGAAAGAATGCGAACAAGTATGAAAATTTTTAATCAGCCTCTTTCCAATCTTATAAATGTTGGTGCCCGAAATAATGCGTTTAACTCTCTTAATACAACATACGATATTGAATTGAAACAGTTAACATTAAAGTAATCAACTTTAATATAAAAGCTTAAGCGATTAAGTATTTTTGAGCTGTGTTTGGAAAAATATGGAAGGTTGAATTTTTCACGTAAACTAATGAAGCGCGGAGGAATTTTTTTGCCGAAGCGGTTATGGGGCATTCAAGCCCAGCCTTGAATTTTTTCCCGCCCGTAGATAGCGTCATTTTTTGGCCATTGCCCCACGTGTGGAGACGTGTAAAGAATGGNTGGAAAGCGAAGCCGTCGAGTCCCAGGGCTGCCTAAAGATTCCATTCAAAATTCCGGAATTCATTCAATATTTCCACATCCTTCCCAGCAGGTCAGCAGACGTGGCCCGGAATATTGTGTTTTGATGTGGTACCCATGGGAGGCGTGGACCGCAAAAATATTCAATTTGCTTTAAAATTCAATAAAATATTCAATTTGCTTCAAAATTTTCAATTTGCTCTAAAATTCAATAAAATATCCAATTTGCTTTAAAATTTTCAATTCGCTTTAAAAAAATATTCAATTGAACAAAAATATTCAATTTGAGTTCACGTGACGTAACTCACATGCTTTTTTTTCTCCCAATTGAAAGCTAGAGACGTGTGAAAAATCATCTGATCTTACTGATAATATAATTATTTTGACTACATCCTAAAACGATTGAAATTGTGGTTTCACGCCAACCTATATTCCCGATTCGTGACTTCAAATGAGAAAAGAGAATAAATGAAAACTTCAATACAGAATAGGTACTTAATTTCAGAGCGATATAAACAACATTTTCTCTGTCATTTTGCTATTACTTATAAATATCTAATCATTAATTTTAAACCGTCGGTTTTCGCTATAGGGAAATACTGTCATAATTCATGATTAAGTTGTTGAAGAAACTACAAATATCTAAAGCCGCTATATCAATATGGTAGCAAAATTTACACTAAAAATTGTCATATTAGCTAAAGTTCGCATCACTAATGGTGTTTTCAGTCCTTTGAAACATAGAACGCCTAACTAAACTAACTTAACTGGAGGTAGATATTAAGAAATAATGTAAAACCGACGCATTGCTGGCTGAACAATTAAAAAGTTAAAATTTAAAGAATACATTTTAAACAACTTATTATGTATTCATATAATAATATATATATTATTTCTTGTATATTTTCCGGCATTAGCCAATGCCAAGAACCGTAATTAACTAGTTACGATTTATTTTTCGTTTATTTTCGTGTGTTTAAATATTTTACATTCCACATTCAAAATACTGTATAACGTAATAAATATTGGCTGTGCCGTAGAACATCTAACAAAGACAGCCAAGAAAAGCTCAGACAACAATTAGAGAAAATAGGCTACATTTTGTGCACATTCTTTTCTTAACACAGTAAGAGATTAATAGCAATCTTGCCATTCAGATTATTCCCAGCCTCTATGACTTGGGCAATAGAAGTTCTTTGTTTTCTCGGTATTCACACAAACGGTACAGAAAATGCACCCTCACGCAATAGCCTGCGGATTAAAATTGACCATAAAATAAATATTCTGTGGAAAGTTTAATCCTTAACGAAAACATAGGAGCAATTGTTTGGCTTCAGCATCTGAGACGCCGGCAATTCATCTTCGTGCGGAGTGACTCCTTTACTTCTGAGTTCAGCGCTCACCTGCAGTAAGCAAGAGAAAACAATCAATTATTGTGGCCTGCATGGCAGTGGATCTTGGGAAAGATAAATGGAGGCAGTAGAGAATTTTGTATTTTATCAGGAAAAATTTTAACTGATTTTTCTTCGTCGAGTATCTGTCACAGATAGGAAAAGTCGACAACATTTTTTTATAAAAACTGCAATATAAAGACGCCCTTATAGTTAAAATTTATCAAAATCACTTCTTACCACCTCCCTTATTATGTCCATTTTTAGCTTTCGCTTAATAATTCCTCCTCACACACTCTTATTCTTATCTTTCACATGTCTATTTAGGTTCTGCACCAACTGTCAGACATCACGACACTGCTGGGAGTCATTGACGGCCCATCGCACGCCACTTGGTGTGAATGGAAGCCATCCGTTGCATGATAACTCCAACTGGCACTCAATTATTAACCCACAGCGCCACACAATTAATCGACATTGGCTCTCAATTAACTAACCCACACAGGCACTTAATTTTACAACACTATCACATCAATTAATCCATCCCAGCACTCAATTAAACCACATTTACTGGCACACCATTAAACCACATTTCAAGGCACTCAATTAATCCACATTGACGCTCAACTAAGCCACACTGACACTCAACTAACCCACAATAGAACTCAACTAATCCACAATAGCTCTCAATTAACTCACACTAGCACACAATTAAGTACCATCTCCACGATAACTTGTGTCCAAGTTACAGGTCTTACCTGCTCGACTTCCTTCATGACTCTCAAGATATTCAAGCCAGCCAGTTTCTTGAGGTCCTCGATAGACCACTTAGGGTCGGCGAGAAGTTCGGCGAACAAGCGTGGATATGTCGACACGTCTTCTAAGCCTTTGGGCAATCTGTTGGGAAACAAAGAGGCGTTCTAGATGCCAGACTTAGTGACAGTGTGGTGCTAAAGTTGCCTAGATAGTGACAACTTTCCACTCCTCGAATTACGTTTGTATGCTGGGCTAGATAGGCCATGACTTCCTCCACAAATATTTGCGTGCGATTGTGTGCAATGAAATGGGTCGGTCAGTTCAGCTCAATGAGATTTATTTTTATCCAAAGCAAAAATGTATGGCGTTCAAATAGTAAACATATAATTTTTTGCAAACATTTATGGAGTGGATTTATGTGTCACTAAAGGAGTCGCAATTCTTTGACAGTTAGTCGCACTCTTACTTGTTAATGCCGTCGAAGTCAGCTCCGATGCCGACGTGGTCCACACCCGCAACCTCTCGAATGTAGTTGATGTGTTCTTGATGGAAGAATACAAATTCTGAATTAATACAGGGAAAATCAGACATTAGAAACGAATTTAATTTCATTAACTGTGAACTAATGATTATTTTACCAACGATCAACTAGTGAATCAAACGTTGGAAACGCTTGTCTATATTATGAAAAATATTCAAGTCAAACCCGCTTTGAAATTGCAGACAATAAATACTCCTCTAAGAAATTCTCTCCAAACTTTCTTTTGATTGTGCCTAAATAGTTTCCGTAATGCTTCTTTTGATCAAAAACGGATATCTTTCTTTTCATGACTGCCCATATAGTTTATATACAATGCGAAAGCCAACAATAGAAGCCGGCGGACATATACACTTTAATTTATGACACTTAGACAATTAATAAGGAGGCAGTGAAATTGAAAAACTTATGTGACAACCTTAAGGTAATTTCAAGCTTTGATTTTCTCACCGACGACGTGCCTAACTTCAGCCTCTTCGCCGCAGGTCAGGAAATGCGAGTAGAAGCTCACCATGATGATGCCGCCGTTAGCTGCCTGTCGTTCATAAAAACTGAATAAATCTTGGTTATTTTCTCCATAACGTAGCAAAATATAGGTTTCAATAAAATAACATAAATCATTTAAGAGTTAGAAAAAGTTATCTGAAAATCCATTGAAACTTGTCATACGAGAAAACGGTTTAGGGCTAGCACAGAGAATGAATTTGCGGAACAGTGTTTCGAAAAAATATTAAAATCCGACAGATTATATTCACTTTTGCACAAGAGATTCATGGTTTCACTAATCTCTCCATGAGAGATGCAAATCGTTAGAATAAATTGAAACCTAGCATAATAGTTCAATTTCAAAATCTCAAGTAATTTACTATTGTTAAATCAACGTACCATAAATAAGCGTAGGGTACTGTTTGTGAATTGACTGTCGAAAATCCTTGACCCATTTGACTGAGTCCTTGAACACTAATTTTTTTTTTTTCAAATAATATTAATGAAACGCTAGTTATAATACACAATCAAATTTATAATAATAATCTTATAGTTAACAACCTGTTTCCAATTTATGATTACAAACTCTGAAATAGATTGTTAACGTGCACGCACCACTTGTCGGATAACATCATCGGGCACGTTCCTGGGGCTGGGGCAGAGGGCGTAGACCGACGAGTGGCTGAAGATGATGGGCGCCTTGGAGGCGGCGAGCGCCGCCCGCATCGTCGCCTGCGACGTGTGACTCAAGTCCACCATCAAGCCCAGGCGGTTCATCTCGCGCACCACGGTCTGGACGACGTAATATTTTATTGTACTTCTAGGGCCCTACATATTATCTAATAATATCTATGATATTATCTAATGAGGAAGGTCCCGGCCACCAATCGGCACTTTTCTGCTTACGAATCTACGAAACCGCAACAATGGGCGCAATCCAGCTGTAATTCGGGTGGGTTTGTCCCAAGCATAACCCAAGCTTATCCCCAAGCCCCTGCCACAATTCTAAAATCTCTGGATTTATGATTGGATGCCAATTATGAGTAGTCATGTCACGTGGCAAAAGAAAATAAGTAAAATAACTCTAATGTTCTTGCATATCACTATTCTGATTATTATAACCGAATTTTTTCATAACGTATAGGTCATCAAATTGTTAATAATCCTAGGGTAATTCAACCTAAGCTGACAGCCCCAACCGTCAGTGCCGAAAGACAACCGACACTCCGAATTTCTGTATTCTATGCCCAGCCAAAAGTCATACAAGTTAGTTATAGTTTTGTTATCATTTAGAGCAGCTGAGCTCTGAAGTTCAAATTGAGAGCCGGGAAATTAATAAACTATTTATAGTTCGGATCCTGAAAACCTTATAAAGGAAAATTCATTCAAGGTTAATTCAGTAAAGGTTACAAAATATAACTCAGTACTCACTGCTATGAGTGACAGAGTGCATTTTTTCACGTCACGGACGGACATTACGAGAACAAAAGGGCCTTTTTTCCATAAATGAGAAAATGCGCTAAAAAGAGTGATCGTTTGGAGCGATTAAACCAAGAGCGGCCAAAGAAGGCTGCAATAAGCAAAAGGTTGGGGCAGAGAGAGGAGGTCAGCAAATAAAATGTTGCCAGCGAAGCTCAATGAGCTCAGTGAACCGCACTCGATAGTGGACCGTGATTGCTCCACATGCTTGTTCAAATAGAAGAAACCAATTGCTGCAAGTATAAACTTGCAGAGTTCATTGCATTCGATGAACGAATTTTAAAATCCTTGTATTATGTTAAAAAAATATACCTATAATTCTAAATATTCGCTTGAAATAAAAAATAGTCAAGTTTATCCCCCATATTTGTCCTCCCGTCTTCTATTGCGATAATAATATACTTTGTTATTTCTGAGAGAATAAATGAACTATTATTAGCTAAGAATGTTTCTACATTAATTCTTGTCTCCAATAATAATGGTTCACGGTTTTGATTAATTGCTTAAAAAACTTCAGTCTATATTTGTGTTTGCAACATCATGCTCTCCTCAATTGTGACCACACTATAAAAGATTGCAGGAGTAATTCACCATTGTTGATTGCTAGCTTCATATCAATTATGCCTAAGTAGTAAATTTGCATTATTTTATGAATTTCATAAGAAATTTAAGAGCAAATAGCGCTTCAAGCGCAGCCTATACGCAAGGCAACAATTACCACGTCTGGCAATTGAAGTCAGGTTTTTAGAGCAGCATTTATTTCCATTATCAGCGGAGCAATTTCTAATGTTTCATTTGAGATGCAGCAAACGCGCAGCAGCATAACCAATTATAGTTCCATCGACCCTTGCTGTTGCATGAATGATCACGACTCGTCATTCTACAAGAGATCAGTGAGCTGCAAGAAAATATAAAAGGCATACCGGATACTAAAATTGTTTTAAACTCAGAATTTAACTAAGAATTATTAAGTCCAGAACATATCTAAGAAAATGATTAATTGAAGTCGATGAGACGTCGTAATTGGTATGAATATCGTGCCACACTTATCAAACAATTTCGCTGCAATGTGAGTATAAACAATTTATATATTTTTCATTACAATATAAATGTTTTGATGAACTGAGTGATGCGTTGCCTAACAAGGGAGAGAGTATGTTATGAAAAATGAAAACAAATTGATATTCGCCTAATGCACACTGAGAATTTCTGTATTTAAGTCTCAATAACCAGTCTAGGCGAGACTAAAATGACGACTAATGCTACTCGAATTATACGTGTTGAATACAAAAACCAGTCGGTTTGCCTTTCATCCTCCACTCCAGAAGCCAATATTAAATCCCTCCCAATATTAAAAAAAATTCCCATCTGCTTCAAAAGTAAAACAACGCGCGTAAACATCAATCACAGCTTCAAGGGATTCTATGCAAATCTGAGTAGTGAATGCTGTCACTCGCTTCACTTGCTTCCAAACAAATCATTTATTAAACAAATTAATTCTCACTGTGATACTCATTTTGTACGTTTCTGGACATGAATATTAATGCTCGTAAATTGCTTGGAAAGTAATACAAAAGGTAAAATCAGTAAATAAAAATTATTAATGTGTGTATAATAAAAGAATTTTTGCGATCGAAGCTCTGTACGATACTCAATAAATAGACCAGTTTGCAGCGATCGTCTAATTTCTGCAAACACAGAATGCTTTACTCTCGTTGCGTACTTTCAGAAGTGTTTATTTTTTAAATTTTTGTTGATTTTTGTAGCGTGAACAGTTATGAAATAGGCTGGGCAATTTTGAGTACAGAATCAGTATCGCAGGACACAATCATGATTATTAATGCAAATGAGTTTAGAAACCTGATTCGGTATGACCGCTGATGGAGACTATGATTCATTCGATACGCAATTAATGAAAATACTGAGTTGGTCCATGAAATTCATGGTAAAATAAATGTAACGAAACCATATACCCAATTTCCCAAAAATTTCCAGAAGTAGTAAATGTTTGAACACATGACCAACGAAACAACTATTTTAATAACCGTGCAGATAAGTAGGTTTGGCTAAATAAACGTTTTATCTCTCAATAATTATTCCAAATAATTTTAAAATCGAGACTTCTACGCATATACCATATTTTTTATGCCAAAGCAGAGTTTGAAACCATTTATTTGCTGTGAGCTCAGGCAACAAAATTGCAACTTTAATTGGCAGTTTGCTGTACCTAACACCGCACAATTTGTACCGCCGTGAATATACAATAAAGAACTGTAATTTTTCTTCATTTTTTTCAGAATATTATTCAGTAACAAGAGCAACGTTTTTCTACAATTAAAAACTCAGTGGCTATATTAATACCAATGTACATGTCTTAATACCGATGCCAAATTTATGCATTTTTTTATATTCTGCAAATTCGAATCAATTTTGTTTATTTATCAATTCTTTTGTCGAAATTTAACTTTGGAGATTGAGTTTACAGGTGAAACGGTTATTTGATTCTGGAGAAGATACACACGAATAATAGTATACACGAATAATACTTTACACGAATAATAGTTTGATAAAGGCTACATTACAAATTCCTAATTTTGAATGAACTTGCTACTGAACCTCAAAATGGTTTTCTAGTCAAGAATCAGCACTCACCTTGCCGAATTTAGTGAGTCCGTCAGGAACTGAGGGATCCTTGGGTGTGGCTTCTGATGGCCGGGCGCTCTCGGCCCTGAGGGAAGTGAAATATCACGATGAATGTCTACCATATAAGGCTTAATGGAAGAGGGAGTTCAAGTATTGGCGAGTTTTTGTGGGAAAATCCTTATTTTAAATACAAGATGAATGGAAAATTCTGTGATCATCTTGCATGACTGGTATCAAGGATTTGTTTGACTCAAGCACCACTCCAAAAAATTTAATCCGGGATTATCATGCTACGTATTTCATGCATTCGTATTGCTACTCGTATTTTATACATTTGTATAAAAAGCTCATTATTTTGTGGAGCATCTGCATTCGCATTTTTTTTTGTCTATAATTTTGTTTATTGTTATTCAGTTATTGCAAATCCCGTTAACTTGAGACTCGTCATACATAAACATGTCAACTTGAATCCGATCTACAATAATAAAATTGAAGAATATTAAAACGTAATAAAAGAAATCATCTTTTTATCTCATTATAAAATTAAAATGTAATTTCATTTTTTAATTAATTGTTACTCACTACTCTAGTTACTGATATTTTAAAAACCTGCGAACACGAATGCCTTCAATAAATTTCATACCTAATTAATGGTTATTAAAAACCTTTAATTAACATGGAACTTTTATTTGACTCTCGTTTTGAAATGTGAAAACTGTAACTTACAGTCTATATATTTAATTCAATTCTTGATTACTGATTTAAAAAATAAAACTAATATTTTGGTGCAGCTCTCCCACGTAGTTATCTTACGCTTTGCTTTTCGACAACTATGAATCAAATTTCAAATTGAAAACGAAAATAATATGAACACACGCTGGAATAGTCTATTGAAATCAACTGGGCCCGACTTCAAACAAACCCGCGAAGTTTCACCAATATATAATTAATTTGTCACTGCACATTTCTCCTTAATTTATACCGTCAAACAATAATAGTGAGTCTAGCCTCATCCATGCAACATCACTCACTTTAATGAACATAACAACCATGTCATCTGGCACAACATTGCTCGACATGTCACCCAACATGCCTCGCAACATAATCCAGCATACCTCACCACACAGCCCAACATAACTCACCAAGCAGCCCAACATAACCAACCGCACCACCCAACATAACCCACTATACCACCCAACATAACCCATCACACCACCCAACATAACCCATCACACCACCCAACATAACCCACCACACCACCCAACATAACCCACCACACCACCCAACATAACCCACCACACCACCCAACATAACCCACCACACCACCAACATAACCCACCATGCCGTGCTGCAGGTGTGCGTAAGTGTCATGTATCTTGCCCCCAGTTCGTACAGAGCCCTGAGGACGCCCAGCGAGTTCTGTATGGCGTGGCCGCCCTCCACGCCCATGAGACTGGCCACCCGCCCCTGCCGGAACGCTGTCTCCACTTCTGTAAAAGAAAAGCACAGGAAGCGCTCAGTTTTTTGAAGTTATTGTTACTGCTCGACGAAGTGGACTAGCTCCTAATGGAACGGTGAGAGCCCAGGCTACAGGATGGGCGGATGTTTGCGTCAACGGGAAAACTTTTCATAATATACAGCAAGACAAGTTTACATGCGCCATCATAGGCACTTCAGTTGCACCGGGAGAAGTTCTTTTTTACGATTTGGATTTTATATGCTTTTGCTCATGCCACAATAACGATGGTAGTGATGGTAGTTACACATTATTCGTAGTCATTTATTCCATTTAATTAATGAAACGAATGATTTGATTAGGACTGACGAGAACTGTGCAGTTTTTGCGAGAAAGTTTCAATTGAAAGGAATTAGGACACAGACGTTAATTTCGGTAAACTCGATCTATAGATTTGTGGGTGTTGAATTCTAAATTTTTCAAGAAAATTGGCACTGCCAAAGGTAATAACTAAATCAATTTTTCACTTGTGAGCTGCTACGTTCATATACCTGTATTCATATATCAGCTATATTCAGAGCAGCTGGGGAAAATATAAAGAACTTAAATAAATGTAATAATGACTTACCGGCGGCGGAGACTGCGATTTGAAGATGCTCGGGATACTGGTCCACCAATCTTCTGATGAGGTCCAACTGTTCTATGGTGAGCTGAACAGCGTTCAAGAATTGCGACCCACAAGGTACGTAGGCGGCCCAAAACTGCGGGGCAAAAGTTTTGTGTGGTGAAAATGTTCGTTTTTATCGCACAAAGTCTGACATAATAAATTTTATTTATCTTATTTATTTTTAAATGATTAAATAGTTATTACATGAAATTTCTCCGTGCTCGTTAGGAAAAAAACAACAGGGCGGAAAAAACAATAATAACAATAAAGTGGCTACAGCGCGTTATAAAGCTAAGCTAGTAAGTGATTTTATAAAAGAAAGTTTTCTGAATCACAAAGCTCCGGAAAAGTTGAGATCCGAAAAGTTAGTGCTACCTACAAAACGGTACAACAAACAACGTTCTTTTGCCTAAACTTCTGGCCGTACTGCAAAAAAAAATAAATTCAGAAGAGAAACTGCAGTTTTAAATACGTGATCCGTTTATACTTGAGCCGTTAGGCATACTGAGCACCTGCACATTTTTAGGAAGACAATTATTTATGACGATCTGCAATTAACGAGTTAATTATGCACAGCAGAGCATTAAATTAAGTTCTCGATTCCGTGAAATTATCTCGTATTCATGTTCCAGGTGACGGTCTCAAGTCGACCTGAGATTTATAAGGTCTTATCAAGTCTATTCAAGACTGTGGCTGAGAAAATGCAGTTTTAAAGAAGCGGCTTCGGGTTTTGTCCCTTCCGGCAAACTACTCCATTAAACTTTAAGCAGGCCTGGCCTGAAGTGAAGATTTCTAAGTCAAAAGCTTTCGTGGAATTTCGGAATGACTAAACGATGCTACGAGCGCTTAGAATGGATTTAGCCACCAGAGAATTTCTCATTTTTTTTCTTATCTAAAGTCGGTTTCCATTCCCAGCTAATTAATGTCATCGCCTTGATTATAAGCACTCACGTAGACAGCATTAATTTTGACCGAAAATCGATCGTGCAATCATTTTTCTGAATAGGGCTTGTAGAACTTCCTATGCAAAATATTTACATTAGGGAAAACTCATAAGCAAAAATTTAATCTACAAATTTAGACTGAATGTTACGTAAGTCAAAGGAATTATTTCTAGTTAATTTTCAAGTTTTACCTAATAAATGAGCACACATTATGAATTTTTTACCTGAGCCGACACGTGTCCTTTCTTAATTCTGGGCAGGTCGGTGTGTGACCAAGAGGACCTGGACCAGGGGCGCACTTTGCTCAGCTCTGCAGTGAAGTTAAAAGCGTGCAGTTTGTTGTGCATGAACTTGCGTACGTTCCACGGCAGGTCGTTGTGACTGTTGGAGATGAAGCAGTCCAATCCATGAGTCCGGTTCAGGGAAAATTATTATCCGCGAGTTTATTTAGATTTACATTTACATTTTACATTTTATTTAGATTTACACATTTTTAAATCTGCAGTGGTTTACCTTGTTTTCTAATTATGACATGTCTATTTACCAGGCTATAGCTACTCACAGCATGAGCGACAAATTATGTAGTATAGATGGAAATTTAACTGCTTTAATCCTCACACATTAAGTCCTGTATAACATTCTATATTCTTATTTGTCACTGCTGCGCCTAAGAAAAAAATATTCCATCATAAGGAACTTTTCCAAGGCAGGTCCAAAGTTCTAAATCAGCCATTTGAAGATTATCTCTGGACGACATCATAATTTTCCGAAAGCCGAGCGTGTTTACGTCTGCGCGCCGCATTTTACAGCGCCACTAGGCGGCAATGATTGCCGAACATTTATGAGTCTTTCAGCGTGATGTGCTTCGTTATCATCGTCTGTGATGATGTGGGATTTCTGTGATGATGTGGGATGATTCTATCGTAAGGCACCGCATTACCCGACCAGACTCCCATTAGCTTATCTATAGGAGTAAAGTTTCGTTTAAGAGATGAAGTAAAGATGATATCTTCATTTGTGCTACACGTAGGGGTTCGGGAAATACTGTTATTTAGAGGCATATTACAAAACGCTTAAGCAAGGCTTCGATACTTTTTATATAAATCTTATGAGGTTAGGTATTTGCATTTTTTAATTAAACATTTGATAATGTCTAAAAGGACATTTTATTTTTTTGAGGTAAACAATGATATGTGTGTTATACATAAGGCTTCAAATCAAATTGGCTCAAAATGCTTTTTCAAATGAATAGAAATTTTAAAATCATAGCTTCTTTAATTAAGATAATATTTTTTTATTTTTCAATAAAATAAATGAAAAACCTGGAATTTTACTTAACTGGGTAACCCAAGGCAAAAATCTTTTAAATAGACGTTCCACTCATATATAGGGATCCGTCTTATTCTATAAGATATAATTATAAGATTTCCATTTTGAGCTGAATTTCTTAACAAACGTAGACATCATAATATTCTAGGCGAAAATATGTGATGAAAACTCTTCATATATTTCCCATGCTCCAGGTCAACGTGTTATTCTGCTATTAATTCGATCGTGATGAAAACTCGCGTTTAATCACACACCAAACCACATGCTTCTATAAATCCTTAAAAGAAGTTTCATGATGCAGTGGATGCACACATTTAAATAAGAAAAGCATATAATTAAACTGTCTCAATAAATTATCTCCTGAAAGTAAGATATAATCCTATTGCTGACCCATCAATAAGAGGAGTCTCTTTGAGCAGCAGTTCGGCCGTGCGCATCCTCTGTGAGAGGTCGGCGCTAAGGTCGCCCCTCAGGGCCAGAGGTATGGCCACCCCCACGCTGCCGAGCGCCACCAGCGAGACCACCGCCACCACTGCGCCCCACACCACCGCGTCGTGTGACGCTTCTAGGACACACCATAAACACAGGTGAGGGTAAAGGAAGAGAATGGTTTTCAGACGTGATGATTGAAGAGCAATGAGCTTAAATGAAAGTATCGAAGGATTCGTGCATATCTATGGGATCCTAACATATTGGGTCATAAATGGGATCCTAACGTAGGTCATAAACACATTTGAATAAAAATGTGGAAATGTTTCTTTCGTAATTATTTTTTATCTCTTGTCTGGGAACTATATTTTAAAACATGTGATTGGCATAGCCGCGTACATATACTGATTAACATTTATCATCCTAGGTCATAAAACTGATAACTGAAAATGAGGAGAAGATTTTTCGCATGTGTTTTGTACGCCATGATTGGAAAGTAACTATATCTTTAGCTTCTTGA